ATCGAATACTCCTTGCAGGAGTATTGGAATACTTTTCAGGAAAGAAAAGTATTCAGATACCTTTGAAGAAGTATTCGAATACTGGAAGGTATTCGAATACAGTGAGGTTTGGTATTCGGATACTTGAGGTATTCAGATACTGGGGGGGGGGGGAGTATTCAGATACTTGTGAGTATTCGAATACTTTAGTGAAAGTAATTGAATACTTTCTGGAGAGCTGGAGTATTCGAATACTACTCGTGGAGTATTCGATTACTTCTTGCAGAAACAACATGTAATGAGTTAAAATGAGTAGGAAAGACTTAATCACTTAATGTAATCTGAGCTATGATTATTAATGAGTAATTATGGTATGGGCAGATTGTGATTGTGCTATTTGTGGGCCTTGAGCTGTGTGGACTCTTGGTTTGGATAGCTAGCTTACAAGGTAAGCTTTCGTGTCCTCGGTTTAGCCATGTTGTGGTTTCGCCATGTCCCATGGGGATCTGGTTATATGCATGCTGTGTTACATGCTTTGGATATTTTGAAATGCTGTTGAGCTTTATGTGTAATGCTTTTAATATGCATGTGTTGTTCCATCTTGACGGTAAGCCTGAGTATGTAGCGTCATACAAGACGGTGATCCGGGGTGGATGCAAGTGGCGTCTTGCACTATGTGTGGGTATTTGGCGTATATAAATCCTGCATTTCTCTGGCTAGTAGAATAGTATTGACACACATGACATGATTATCTGCTGCATTGCACTGTTTTAAAAATGATATTGATAAACTGCTTTTGAACTTATATTGCACATGTAAGTGAGCTTGGGGTGGAAGATCCTTGAGGACCCATTGTCTTATTGAGATTTTTGGTTTAGAGATCTCACCCCACGTTTGGGGAATGCTTATTTCAGGTTCAGGTAGTATGATGACTGATGTCTCTGGCGGCAGAAAGCCAGAGCTTAGTTGATGATATTGCTGTTATTTATGCTGATATGTTGGATGCTGGTTATAACTGCTGATTTGATGTATTAGCTTACTTTTATTATGTTGCTGTTGTTGAGATGTTGTGGGCTTTGTTGCCTTATTTGGGTGAGCATGGGAGTTGTCCATGCCACTATGTTGTTAGTACTTTTGAGTTAAGTTGTATAAACTGTTAGTTGGTCCGGTCTACGTGTGGTAGTTCCGTGACTAGAGACATACTTATGTTATTTTAATTAATGAGGTATTTCAGTTAGCTGTTTATTGCAATGTACATACAGGCGATGTTTTGGAAATGGTTAAGTAATCAAGTTGGTAATGTTTAATGACATCATAATTGAAAAGAAAAAGATATTCCGCATTTTTGTAATTAAGCGCAGCTTAATACGATAGTATGATAACCTTACCGGATATATACGGGATGTTACACATATGCCACAAACAAGTAGTGTCTGAATTTGGATCAACTATTGAGGAAACCGAAGCAAAATCATTAACTATATCACCCTGCAAAAAATAAAGATCACTTCTTATTTTTCCTTTTATCACAATTAGCGCACCTTCAGTAACTCTGAATGTTCCATCTTCAGCGGAAAACTTACAGAATCAAGAGTATCTAAAGAACATGTTGAACATCTATCAAAATTCTCACAATACCATGAATATGGGATGTTAAGAATTATATAAGTATTATTTCTACAGTGAATTAACAAATAATTAATATAATTATTATTTTTACTTTGACTTATTGAATTGTCCTATTCAATGTTGTTAAAATCGAGATTTTATGTTATCAAAAAAAAAAATCGAGATTTTAAATAAAATCGGAAAGGGATTAAAAAATCATAAAACATAAAATTGTAATGTAAAAAAATTGTAAAAACGTAAAAGCGTTTGGAATATTGGTAAAATCGTTTTGATAAAAAATATTTAAAAACGTAAAATCGTAGTGATAAATCGAGATTTTAACAACATGGTCCTATTGTTAAAAAGTTTGATTTCTTATGTATTTGTTAGTATAGTTAATTTTTTTAATAATTGAAAACATATACTTATATAATAATACTTAAAAGTTCACCGTAATGTAAAACCTAACTTAATTGCAGTTTTTATGCTTAATTTCATTACAAAAGCATATTATTATTCTGAAAAAAAAAATTGTACATAGAAAGGAACATTTGAAATGTACCTACTGCCATTGTTAAGATTCAGTGAATCCTGGATTTCAAAGTTGAATCGTAACGATGAAGTAATGTTATAAACAAAAGGCATTGCTTTGCATTGGAGTGAGCAGTAGGATGGAGTGAATTCTTTCGTATGTTAGTTAACATGAGTCACATGATCATATCATAAGAATGGACCCTAATCATTCATAGGTAAAAAAACAATCATGATTTTGTTACTCCCTATTCTAATATTTTCTTTGTCTCATCTCCATCACCATTGATTCGCCCATGAATAATTAAGATTCTTATACATAACATGATCATATTAATATGTAGTTAAGTAAAAGATGTAAGACGTCCAATACCATTTTTGAGAGGAGTTTAAAACTTTAATCAGAATCTGCATCAAATTAAAGTAGTTGCGAATCGATAAAATTATTGAAATAAGACGGAACCATTAAATTTAACGTAGAATATTGTTCGAGGGCAGGGGATCAAATCATACTATTTCATTCTAAATTGTATCACTCGTTTAAAACGTTATATAGTTAGCGAATAGGCTTTGCATATTTTCTTAGCTTCTGAGTCGGACATGAGTCACTGGACTTACCCACAACTCTGCCGGAAGCGTAGTGTGTCCCACTGTCAGCATCAAAATTAATTTGTACAAAAGCCACTAGGGTCTGCAATGTAGAGTTTGTTCTCGGGCTCAAAACTTCAAATACTATTTTCTTTTGCTTGGATTATACTTAAAAGGAGGATCATTGTGTCTTTTTATCATAAATGATAACTTCCTTTAGTAAATTCATTGAATCACCACCTACCCCAACTTAAGAATTTAATACTTGGTTTCAATTGAAAGCTGAAAGATAGATTTAATTGGTACGAAAGTGCTATATGATACAATGAAAATTCAAGTTAGAACAATTGTAAGTTGAGCTCCTCAAGTAATATTTTTGTATTCTCTGACTTGATGAAGTTTCAGCCACAAAGTGTAAACGCTCCAAATCGACCTAATTCATTACTCTTTAGCGTATTGTTATAACGCAATGGAACTCAATTAGATCGTACGATAGATAACGCTATCCAAGAAGACTCGTATGACTTTTATACTACAACTAAAGGTAACTTAGATACAAAACACTCATGTTAAATATAAATATCATCCAAACAACATCATCCACAATCAACCCGAATAAATCATCACTTGCGACGACAAAAAAAGAAAACGGAATGTTGACAGTTTGCATTCAATTCAAAATTGGGAACGAAAACTAGATCCATAAATCTTGAAATTTACGCACATAAGACTAGATGTCTAATGCTTTAAAACGATGTGGTTGGGGGTGGGGGGGTGGGTTTTGAATCTCAACTTTTGTGAATGAAAAGCATTCCGTAGCCAGCTCTTTACTGCTTTGTACGCTGACCTAGGGCGAGGAATTAGTCTCATGGCTATCGACTGTGGGAATACGGGATGTAATCCAAAAAAAAAAAATGCTTTAAAACGATATCTTGTTTGTTAAATTCCAAATTGACCCCTCTAGTCTCTAGAACTAGAATTCTGCCTTGAGTTATTAAAATTTCAAATTCACCCCAAAATTTAAGCTATTTAATATTGGATGTCACAATTCTTCTTACCTTTTAAAAATTGACCCCAAACATTAATAATCTTAAGTCCACTACTTAAAGAATAGATTACATACATCATTACTATAGTAGATAACTTATCAAACATGTAATTCAGATTGTCTTGACAACCATAACCAGTGGCAGAATTAGTCTCCCAACTCAGCTAGGGCCAAGGAGAATTTAACTGATACTAAACACTAAAACGTGGAAAGTTATTTAGCCATGTTTAAAGCGTGGCTAATTTTCAAAAATAAATTAGGGCCAAGGCACCCTTTTCACCCAACATGGCTTCGCTGCTTACCCCTACATTATATTCTTATATAATCATACAAGATTTATGTAGTACTCATTACACTCATCCATAAGTAGTGACATAAAAATAATTAATCATTCAAGCACTCACTTATCCGTGTAATGCTTCCATGAATATGCATTCAAAGTAGGGTTACCCCTAAGAAGCATTGTTCAATTTATATAATTAAACACTTGTCCATAAGGGCTTCCAAGAGCTTGGCTCAAATAGTATTTCCTCCTCAGAGGACCTTTACTTATCTATCACATTTTCAAGCACTTATCCCTAGGCACCTCACTGAGCTTAGTTCACCGTAGAACGTGTGCTAAGAGGTGCTAAACTTATCCATTCATCTCTGGTCAGGGAGTTCATCATGCATTCATGCTTGTGTCATGATTTCTCAGAGAAAAAAAAGAACTTAGCAAATTTGCACAGAACGTGATTGACCCAAAATCACAAGCGTGCAGATAAATCCAACCCGAACCCAACAATTTTATATCATATTAGAACACGAGATTTATTATTCTTATGTTACATAAGAAAAAATCTATCTCCTACACACACAAATTCAAGATTTTTTCTCTCTCTTCCCTTGAAAGTGGACCTCACTTATACAAATGAGTCAGTAGGAGATAATTATTATCTCCTACTACATGAGAAAACTATTATCCTTAGAACAATGGTGTAAACCAAATTATCACAAGTTAAATTTTGTGTTGTCTACGTACACGAAAAAAGAAAAAAAAATAAAAATCTGACTTCCAGAAGTGTTTGTGTATATGACAACAAATAAATAAACAATATCACAAGTGAAATTGAGTTCTTTATGTACCTAAAAAAACATATTGTCCTCTGACTTTAAGAAGTGTTAGCTCGGGTGCACTTTTATCCAAATACTTAAATGAACGTGATTGACCCACAATCACAAATGTGAAGATATATCTTCAAACTTACAAAAATTAAGTTAACGTGGCTCCGTCACTATGCCCCCCATGATAGATTTGATGAGGGTTTAGCAACAATTGCACAAAGCCAAACTTCACTAAAAATATTTCCAAGCAAAAACAAAAAGCATTGAAACGACGTAAACACAAGGTCATTATATTTGGTTTAATTAAGGGAATATCAGTGACCAGAAAACTAAATGTTGATAAGAATCATAACTTAGCAACCGGGAAGTTATAGAAGGTAGCATGAGCAATATACATCAAATTCCCAGTCTTCTTCAGTTTAAACTCTAGTGCAACTATAGTCACATTTCTTCCTCCCTTCACCACGGAGGCATCAGCTAGAATTTCTTCCTACACAAACAACGGAGCAACAATCCATTTATTGAAGAATTTAACCATGTGGAGGAACATGAACATGGCACAAGCACATAAGGGTACCTAGTCAGCAAAATTTACCCAATTTAACATTTCTTTCTAGCCTAAATATGAAAGGATTATATTTGGCAATCTTATTCAACCCTCGTTAGCCTAACCATGGGAGGTAATAATCATCTAGCATGGCAATGCAACTCACCAACATTACATATTGAATGAGAAGTTAATTAAAAAAAGGGAAAACTTTGGTGCACAAGACTTCCCGACTTGCGAGGATAGGGATAAAGGTCAATTGTACGCAGTCTTACTTCTACCATTTTGTAAAGAGGCTGTTTCCCAGACTCAAACTCGTGATCTTCCGGTCACAAGGAACAACTTTATCGCTGCTCCAAGATTCTCCCTCAAATGAGAAGTTAATTAAATGTAATCAAAATTCCAGCCTCTAATTCAACAAATTCATCTTTGCAGCATTATCAGTGAGCCCCTTATGATCACACTGAAAGCAATTCTCTAAGTGCATTCTAAGGAACTCAGCAAATGCAGTTGAATGACGCTAAGCAACACTTTTACAATGCTAAGAATCTAGAATCCTTAGTTTTGACATCTCATTGCTTAATGTTAAGGTGTAATACTTTTCTGAAGTCCTAAGATTATTTTTCAAATGCAATTTAGGCTAAAAGTACTAAATTTCCTCTGGCATGAAATCCAAACTGCTCATTTATCATCAACTGATTTACAGAACGGGCAAAAGCAGTAGTGCCAGAGTGAATCAAATATCATTACACAAAACTCACATTTGTTGGAGCTCCAGAGAGGTAAGACACGCTAATTTCCCCAAGAAAAAGTTCCTTGTCCTCAGCAACAACAGTTCTAGCACAAGCCGTAGACAGCAACTCAATCACAGACCCAACAGATCCACCGTGCATTGTTCCATATATATTCTGCAATTCCAACAAAGAAAACAAAAATGTCCATCTAAATCATGTAGCATTTTTCTCTTCTCATAAATTCATAACTTCGACCCCAGAAAGAAAATAAGTTGTAAAAATAAGTTTGGTTGCTCAAAAAGAAAATGGAAGAAATTTTAACCAAAATTGCAGCAGAATCAACCAAAACCTTTTGTATTCTCAAAATTGATCGAACTGAATATAACCAACAGCAAATATCCCCAACAATCATGTACAAAAGCAACAGTAATTTTCGGTTCATCCAATCAACAAAACATTTCCAAGCACAAGAATAATCTTCTCCCCAATTTCCTGAGCTACTAAACAGAATATCCATCGAAACAAAATAGAGAAAACAAGAAAGAACGTGGACATTTCCCAATAGTTATCATGCAAACTATCAGTAATTTCGATACACCCATTTGGCAAAACATTGTAAAACATAAGTACGACCTTCCTTCCCAATGTTTTCAGCTGCCAAACAGAAAATAAAGAGCAATAACATTATAAACTATATATACAAAAAAAAGTTGCAAATTTTAATAATTATAAAGCAATTCATCAGGAACCTGGATTGACCCAATTAACAAAACATAAGTAGAACCCTTTTTCTTCCCAATTTTCACAGCTGCCAAACAGAGGAATAACATTATAAACTTTATGTTTTAAAAAAGAAAAGTTGCAAATTTTAATAATTATAAAGCAATTTATGAGGAACCTGGATTGACCCAGTTTCCCAAAATATCTCAAACATAAGAAGAAACCCCAAACAGAACATAACAAGAAAGAGAACAAAAAAGGGAAGGTGGGGTTACAGAGATAGGGGGTTTGACAGCAACAGTGCAAGAGATTCGTCCACGCTGGATTTGATCGACGTTGATGAAACTCCCAATGAAATGGGAGTAGAAGCCAGTGGTATTGCAACTCTCAGGAATGGGTTTGGCTACGCCCATTTTGTTAATAAAATTGAGGGTCGCAGAAACATGTTGTGGCTCCATTTCGCTACAAATTGAGAGCGTTTCAGTTTGAGAAGCTTTGGAATTGCCCGTCATTGGTCTGTGTTTCTATAAGCCAAACACTGTCTTTCTCAGTTTCCTTCCCAGCTTATTTGGAGTTCTTTTTTTATTATATTCCAACAACAAAAATAGTGATAATAATAAAAAAAATACTCCTCTCTTATAAAAAGTTATGATATCATTTTTTCTAGTGGATGATGAATTTTATCACATTTTATGTTTATGATAGGAGATAATCATTTTCAACAACATGAGAAAAATAAAATTCATAAAAAAATTGTTAATATTTCTCTTAAAATAACTTATTTTCAGTTTTTAAAGAGAAATGTATTTTTATAATTTTAATATATTTTAAGATTATATTAATTTTTATTGTTATAATTTTTTTTCTCCTAACCACAAAACAATGTTAATTTTGAAATAAGAAAAGATAATTTTATCTCAAGTAAGAAATGTTAAATCATAAAAACAAACATTGGTTATTGAAGATTCTTGTTATTTATTTTTTAGTTCACATTAGTGTTTTTTTTTAGCACGTGTTGATACTTGTTAATCTGGTTCCTTTTTGTAAAATTAGCTGATGAACAAGTATGTGCTACATTTTAGTGGTATTTTAGTCCTTGATGAGTTGATGTTTGCAAGCAAGAAGCTGCATTGGCCAACTTTGGGATTTCTTCAATGTTTGGTTCTATTCTTTTCAATAGTTTTCTAGGTAAATAAAGTTTGGTTTTTAGAAAATTAATATTTGTTTCAACAGCTTTTGATCAAAATCCATCCATGTGAAATGCATAGCTTTTTGAGAAAAATAGGAATTTGCACTATTTAGAAACCGGATTTGAGGGTGATTTTTTGAGAAAATCCGGATAAAGCACGGTTGATACACTTTTTGTTATATATTTCTCTGGTAAAATTTTGTTAAACCAAACTACTTTTTTTTAACTTCTCTATCTATTCAACTTTCTCTATGAATACCTAGTAATCATATTTCTCTAGTATTTTTAAAATTTATCTTCAACCAAATGCTTCCTGTAGATTTTTGCAAGAAGGATGCCATATGTGCCCGAAAGATAGCTGAAGATTTTTTTTGGGGTTATTGTGTAAGTACTAGAAGTGGAAGGTCCACCAATGGATCATTGTTAAGGTGGTCCACGGCATTTGTAGACCATTGGTAAAGTACATGTAGAGGAAAATGAATTATAGCAATTTCATTAGTGTACTTTTTATAATGGATTTTATTAATCTCCTTTTACATAAGATAATTATCTTATGTTGTAAAGAGAAAATAGGCGAGTCCCACCATTATAAGAAGAAAGAAAAAAAAGAAAAAAGTGGCGTGCGGAAATCGAAGTAAGAAAAAATGAAATAAGATGTCTCATGTGAAATGAAAGTAATATTTTCCTTTTAAGTTATTTTGCATCGGGACACAATAGCTGACCATGTACATATATTAAAATAATACGAGGACAGAAAGAATGATAAAATTTTGGTGATGATTATTGATAAGATAAGGAAATTTTTTATGTAAACTTTTGTTAAAAAAATATATGCGAGTATAAGGATATATTTCATCTATAAATTAATAGTACGATTATGAAGTTCTTTAAATGAAATTAAGAATGACACTGAAAGGATTTTATCCAATATATAAGGGGATTGATGGGAAAGTAAGCAAGAAAATAATCTCAAAAATTAAAATTTTTAGCAACCCAGTTGAATTCAAGGAGTAGGTATCATTTTTTAAGAATTGTAATTAATACCGTTATTTTTCTTGCAAGACCACAAGTTCTTCTATCAGTGTAAAAAGCTAATTCTGATTCATACGTGGCATTAATTTGAACTACACTGCAAGCAATGTAAAGTCTGCATACATAAAGATTTGTTTATGGCTTTTATAATCCATGTAACATGAGAGTTGTAACATGAGAGTTGCAATTTTCTGTAAAGAACTTTGAGATACACTATATCAAAAGTTAGCTTAAAGGGTGAGAGTGTCCAAGGCATTATAAAAGTCGCATTAGTTGTCCACACAATCAATATGAGACTATATATCTCAACATGTCCTCTCACACGAGAGTCCATTGGACTTGAAGTGTGGATTATGCACAGGCCCAATTTTTGGTTTTACCTTGTGCTTTTTATTATAATTCCACTTTAAAGTGGAGGCGGTGAGGATCGAACTTGTGACGTTATAGTCACTCAAGCTCTGATACCATGTAAAGAACCTTGGGATACACTACCCCAAAAGCTAGCTCAAAGGGTGAGAGTGTCTAAGGCCTTATAAAGGCCACATTAGTTGCACACACAATCAATGTGAGACTATATATCTCAACACGCCCCCTCATGCAAGAGCCGTTTGGACTAGAAGCGCAGAATTGCACAGGCCCAATTTTTTGTTTTACCTTTTTATGCTTTTTATTTTAATTTCATTTTAAAGTGGGGACCGTAAAAATCGAACTTTTGACCTTATAGTCACTCAAACTTTGATACCATGTAAAGAATCTTAGGATACACCACCCCAAAAGCTAACTCAAAGGGTGGGAGTGCACAAGGTCTTATAAACTTCACATTAGTTGTTCATATAACTAATGTGGGACTATATATCTCAACAAATAATATTACAACTACAAAGAAATGAGAATACTCATTGATATGGAATATTAATGCTGCGCTTATATGAAACCCACATTCAAAGCCTTTATCATTAAGCAAGGACTTCACTCAACAAAAATTGCTATAGTTACTACTTAGTAACTGCAACTGAGCAAATTTCACCTCCAAAGACATCTCTACAAAGTTTATCTCAAAGCCACTCACATGAACCAACGAAGAGAGATGATTGTCTTCGTCACGAAAAAAGATATCTTCGAAACTGGTCATCCCTCCACTACAAATACATATATATTAACCCAGAGATACATATCTTATTCGACATGAATAAACCTGTTTGAACTAAATCTGATTTGAGCGTCAGAATGTCTTCCAAGTACACCCTCCATCTTGTTCTAGTGAAGACTCATGGGTTGAAGCTGCTCCAAACTATCTACCAAAAAAAAAAAAGTGGTTCTTTAATATAAACCAAAGAATTTTTTTTTTGTTTGTTTGTTAATATTAATACGTGTGTTATTTTTTTAATAAACGTATAGGGGTGAATAAATTCCAACAAGTGGTCACTTTGTTTTTATTTTATGGCGTTTATTATTTTACTAAGTAAGACAAAAAAATAAAAGGAGGAAAATATTGCGTTTATTATTTATCCAGCATTGATAGAATTTTAATCGCCTCAGAAGTAGGAAATGGGCGAAGGGACGGCATATTGATTGTTGTAAACCAAGTGGCGTATTTGCAACCAGAATAAGTAGTCATAACCCACCAACGCTACTGGTTAAATTAAGAAACATCTCATATTAGCTTGCAATCTTTATGTATCCAAATAATTATATTGGTTGATATAAAGGCATTCATCCATCTCACCCAAAGTTTTTAACCGTAAGCATCCATGCATTCATCAAGTTAGAAAGTGGAAACACATGGTTCTGTTTCTAGTTGCATCTTAGTGCTACCAAACCCATCTCATTTAAACTCATAATAAGTACACTGGTCAAAGTTTTACAACTGGAACTTAAAAACGTTCAATAAAAGAGCACCCAAAAGTGGACGTCCTAGAGGGCCATGCAATCAGTTATATAACATGGTGGAAAAGGGTTATATAAAGACTAGAATTCCATGTAAAGCTCCATCCCATATCGAAAACAATAAGCCTTTCAATCAAGTAATTAAACCCAATATCCACATCCAAATGGCATACCTATCAAGTTTTGTTCCTTTGGTGGTTCTTGGTTTAGTTTTAGTGATTGGTGTTATTGTCCCTGGTGCTGAAGCCAGGCCAAGGGCATTCTTTGTATTTGGAGATTCCCTTGTTGATAATGGAAACAACAACTATTTGCTTACCCCTGCACGTGCCGATGCCCCTCCTTATGGAATTGACTATCCAAGTCACAGACCAACTGGCCGTTTTTCTAACGGCTTCAACATTCCTGATCTTATCAGCTAAGTTTCTATTTCAAAAATTTTGTCTTCCCATAAACTCTTTTATATATATAGGCAAAATGATTTCTGCAGCTGCTGTACCTACAGCTAGTAGTCAGGATCCGCGTGCGGATTCTAGGATACGGCACCGGATCCTTGTTTTTTTTTTTTTTTGAAAACATCGTGGGGTCCACTTTTCTGTGTCAGCTGTAGAGAATGTTATCTATAGCGGCTGCAGAAATGATAAGCCCATATATATATATATATGTATGATTTATTATTTGTACTGTCATTATATATGACGTTTTGTACTGTCAACTAAAAACGACGTCGCTTTTTTATTGGGATAAGGAAGTTTGTGCTCAATATTAATCGTAGAAAATAGAAATATATATATCATCTTAGCATCAAACCTTATCTTTGCTAATAATAGAATATATCTATAACAAGCTGGGTTGTTTCAGGTCAACGACTTGGTGCCGAGTCTACATTACCATACTTGAGCCTAGAATTAACGGGAGAGCAGCTTCTAGTTGGTGCCAATTTTGCTTCAGCTGGAATTGGAATCCTTAATGATACCGGAGTTCAATTTGTAAGTAATTAATATAGGGTAAATGATTTCTCCGGTCAACGGAGATAAGTTATTTTCGAGGAGTTCAAAAAGATGTCATTTTAAGACGGAAATCAAGGTGTTTTTATAATTCTAATATATTGCAGGGTTATATTAGTCTTTAACATTATAATTTTTTAATTTTATAACCTCAAAAAGACATTGTTTTGAGCTCACTAGAGATAACTTTATCTCCAGTGCCGGGAGAAATACTTTTTCCATTAATATGTATATATATATGGGTTTACATTTCTGCAGCTTCTGTACGTGCAGCAATCAAATACTTGCCATATATATACTGGAAAACATTAAATATGGGGAATCATAACCATACAACGGATGAAAGCAATAAATATGGGGAATTATAATCATCCACTTGTTGTTGTTGTACGTAAAGCGGCTGTAGAAATGATTTTACCTATATATATATGGTAAATGATTGGTTATTATTCCTCGAATTTATTTGTTGGACGTCAAGCGACTGGAAAAAAGTAAAGTCCATATATATATATATGGTAAAATCATTTCTCCAGCTGCTTGACGGCCAACAATAACAGGTATATGATTATGATTCTCTTTATTTAATGCTTTCAACTTTTGTATAATTATGATTTTTCATATTTAATGTTGTCCTATGTATATATGGTAAATAATTGACTGCTGGACGTCAAGCGCTAGAGAAATGTTAACCCTATATATATATATATATATATATATATATATATATATATATATATATATAGAAAAATATTTCTCAAACAACTTGAGATATATTTATCTCCCTCCACCCAAAAATTACGTTGTTTTATTTATTTATTTCCTTATATTAATTGATTCATCTTCGAATGGTTATGTTTTCCTTTTCTCTCTCTTCCTTTATTACCATCTATCTTTGTATGGTTATGATTACCTCAGCAGACAAGTTCGGAACAGGAGAAGAGAGAAAAAAAGCAATTTTAACGTTATAACTATATACTACCCGTAGTACATAATTAAAAGAGATAACTTGAGATAAATTTATCTCAAGTGGCTGGAGAAATGTTAATCCATGTATATATATATATATATATATATGAGATAAGATCAACTAATACGTATACAAGAATAATAAGTCTTATACTTAATTTTAGCTATTGATTTTTTTGTATCATACAATTATAATTTACTGAGTTACACTTCTTAATTACTTTACATTTTAGTCATTGATTTCTGTCCATCCAACGACTATAATCTATTGGGAACTAATAATTAATTAATTAGTATAACTCAATAAATTATAGTCATTATATGAACGGAAATCAACAACTGAGATGAAGAGTAAGACTCTAAGTATTATATTGCAGTTAAAAGATCCCTTCTAATGTTGACCGTTGATCCTATTTATACTAAAAAACTCTGATTTATTAGATATATAAACCGTTAAATATAAAGAAATTAATAATCAAGATTGAATGTAAGACTTTTTTAATATAAGAGTAATATCCTGGGTTAGATATTTCCAACTGGCTCACACGGGGTAAAATTTGCAGTTGGTAATGCTTATATTAATGCAACTTTTGCAGATAAACATAATTAGAATGTACAGACAACTAGAGTATTTTCAAGAGTATCAAAAAAGAGTGACAGCTTTAATTGGTGCTTCGCGGACAAAAAGACTCGTGAACCAAGCACTGGTCCTCATCACTGTTGGTGGCAATGATTTTGTAAACAACTACTATCTAGTACCCTTTTCTGCAAGGTCTCGCCAATATCCACTACCAGAATATGTCAAGTTTCTCATCATTGAGTACAAAATGCTTCTGCAGGTAAAATCCATGAAGGCACGAAGCCACATCCACACATACAATATAGTTATATAGAGATCTATCTATTTCATGCAACAGATAAGATAGTGGGGTCCACTATTTTTTAAAAAAAAAAATAAAAAATAGTGGACCGCACTTTGTCTCTGTTATATGTTATATGAGATAATTATTTCATGTAACATGAAATAATTATTTCCTTACAATAAATATATATATATATATATATATATAATTTATTTTTCTTACCTATGATCCCTCTTTTTGAATTGTAATAATGCATTGCAGAGGTTATATGATTTGGGAGCTCGGCGAGTTCTTGTGACAGGGACAGGTCCATTGGGTTGTGTCCCTGCAGAGTTGGCTTTGCGCAGCACAAATGGGCAATGTTCTCCTGATCTACAACGTGCTGCAGCATTATACAACCCTCAACTAGAACAAATGATACAACAACTCAACAGTGAAATTGGCAGTGACATTTTCATTGCTGCAAATACAGCACAAATGCACAATAATTTCGTCAGTAACCCCACAGCTTATGGTACTATACACTCTGCTACCAACTTTTACGTTAAGTAACTAGTTTCTCTCTATTGTACCGTTATGTGGTGACAACTTTTATTTTACATATATATGATAAACAATCATTTCAATCCAATAGCTTAAATCTTTATATAAAAGTCAATCAATAATTTTATATTATATAACACACCCTCAAGAGTTATTTGGGCTTAAAGCATAGATATTGCATGTGCTCATTTAAGAGTTTATTTAATATCCACGTTTCAAGTCCAAAGAATTTTTGGATGAGGAGATGTACTTCATGTAATAGCTTAAGCTTGTAGTTAAGGTGATTAATTTGCAACATGAAAAGTAACACCAATGTTGGTGGTTAAGGAAGAAGAATTTCCTCATGGTCCTTATCATAGAATATATCCTAACATTTTATGTTGTCGAATTGCATAGGATTTATTACATCAAAAGTAGCTTGTTGTGGGCAAGGACCCTACAATGGTATTGGGCTATGCACGCCATTCTCCAACTTGTGCCCCAACCGAGACTTGTATGCATTTTGGGATCCCTTCCATCCATCTGAAAAGGCAAACAGACTTATTGTGGAGCAAATTATGTCAGGTTCTACAACGTACATGAAGCCAATGAATCTCAGCACCATTCTGGCCATGGATGCTAGCACATGAAGATAAACGAACCAAATAAACGGCATTATCACTATCTTGGTGTTGAATCCTAGTGCATGGCAGCTCTTATTGTTTATTGGATTTGTTGTTTGTAAGGAGTAAATTATGTAATTTCTGATTGGTTCTTTATATGGTATTAGAATTTCAGTGACCATAATGTCACAAATTCAATCGTCAGTGCCCTCTCACTTGTGAAATTAAATAAACAAGGTATTCTCCAAAAAAAAAATAAACATAAGGTAAAAACTAAAAAAAAAAATTGGGCCTATAAAATATTCATACTTCAAGCCCAAATGGCTCTTACTGAGGAAGTGTGTTGGAAAATAATATAAATCATTAAAAAAACATCATCCAACACCTTAAGATTTTGAGTTAATTAGTTTTTTATTGGAAATAATAATTTATTCTAGAACAAGCAGCTTTTTAAATGCAAAATTTTATTTCCCTTAAGAATAAGGTATGTTTTTTTTGCTTAAAATCTGTTTTGTATTACAGCCTTAAATTTATTTTGGTTTTAACCATAGGTGTTGAGTGGCTGGAGTTTCATGATTATATGGCTAAAGTTTAAACCGGGAGCATCAGATTTTAAGTGGTACAAACCAATAAAAATGTGACAACTAATCAAGATAGAGGAGGGAGTAGAGAGTGAAATTTTTTTTTTATACAAGTGTCAATTTCTCAATGGAAGAAGCATATGGGGGTAGGACCACTAATTTTTTTTCCTTAAAACAGCCATAAGTTGCATGATAAGCATACTTAACTAAGGGTAGCCATCAAAGAATTTGGTCCAAATCTCAGTTGTTTAAGTTAGTAGAGCTCGAGAAAAGAAATTTAAAGTATCATAATTAATGGGCTAATTCAAGACATTTGGTGTCACTCAGATTGATTTCTCGTTATGCATGATCGACATCTTCATGCGACGCTGGTGCAAGGTTTACATTAATATTAGTAGTCTTTACCAACCCTGTCTTTGAAAGTTTAGTGAATCAGTTATGCGTATGATCCAAAACATCCCACGTAGAATCGTAGATCATCTTATGTACATCTGTCATTCAACAAGTGACATTTGGATAAAAAAAATATTTTTCTCTTCTTTCCATACAAGATGGTAGTCATTCCTCATTTTTTATTGGATAGATGTACTGAGTGAATGGTACAACAGTAGTACCATTAATATTTTCGTAGAATCGACTTAAATTATGCCCAACTTTTACTTATGTCATTTAATTTGTTCTATTTTTAGGTCGTGGTTTACTTGACTTTCAAACATATGTGTCAGGCGGGTCCAGGGGGAAGCCCGTGGCAGGGGGCCACCACTAAAGAGCTAAAGCTACACCAACCGTAGCAAGTGGATTCGACACTATATCTCAACCCAAAACCTTAAGGCATTGGGTTCATGGGTCCCTTCCACTTATATACTCTTCACTTAGCCCATTACCAACCAATGTGGGACTCATCACACTTGAATATCCCAACAATCTCCCCCTCAAGTGTGAAACCCACAATTGGTAAGCTCCCCCTCAACTGAGTACCCCAAGCGCAAAGTACTCGACCCGCCTCCTAGCCAATCACTAGGCTAGCTCGAGTCCAACCCAGCTCTGATACCAATGTTGGAAAATATCGTTTCCCTCAAGCTTGGCTAAGTAGCCTTTGTGCGGAAGTCAATCAACAAGATCCTGATCTCGGATCTCGGCAACACCTCAGCCTGAACTTCACCAGGTCGGGCAGTGCAGCGAAAAATCAAAACGAAAACGGGAGAGAGAGAACACAAGCAGTTATTAACGTGGAAAAACATTCTCCAATGAAGAAGTAAAAACCCACGGGACCTAGTCCAAATAAAAAAATCCACTATGAAAATAATGGTTACAAAGAATCAAATTCACCAATGTGGTGGTTAACTCAACCTTTCAAACAATGGTGATAATCAAATCTCCCTAGAGAAGTTTCACTCAAACTCTTTCTAGAAATCTCTCAAATACAAAGAATAAAGCTTTTCTCTCAAATCTCAAACAATTTTTCCCTCAAATTTCTAATCTCTCTCTTAATCTCTAACCTAGCCTCTACCCAGAACTAATGAATATATAGAGGAGGTGAGATCTAGGGTTTAGGGTTTTTAGGAAACCCCTCAATGGGCTTGGGCTTAGCATTGAAGAAGGAAGCCCAACAAATCTCCCCCTCCGACTTCAATGCGTCGGCTTCAGCATCAACCCGGCTCTTTCACAGCAGTCTTCAAATTTTCTAGTTGGAACCGACTTTGTCATCATGTCGGATCAATTATGGTCAGTGTGCACCTTGACGAGTTCGAGCTCTCCACCTTCAACATCCCGGATCCAATGATACCTCACATCAATGTGCTTAGTGCGGGAGTGATAGGTCTAATTTTTCGCAAGATGGATTGCGCTTTGATTGTCACAACCCAGCTTGTACTTATCTTGGTCATGGCCGAGTTCCATGAGGAACTTCTTCATCCACAACATCTTTTTGCTTGCCTCAGTAGCGGCAATGTACTCAGCCTCTGTTGTCGATACTGCAACATATTTATGAAGTCTTGATTGCCAAGAGACAGCTCCTCCGACAAATTTCATCATGTATCTTGTAGTCGACTTCCTTGGTAAGTATGGATATTATTTATGATTTAAGTGTAACGTGGAAGCTCTCCTGCCTAGTTATTATAAATGGCTTTTTCATGGATCTAGTAAGGGATTATTCCTGGTTAATCAATGTTTTGAATTTGAGTTTTTAAAAATGTAGTTGTATTAAAATTTGATAGGCGCCCATGTGATCGCTCAAATTGGACTAATTGAGTAATCAATGAAATAATAAAAAATATCAAAAAAATTAAATAAATGATTTTTTCAATTTTTATTTTATTTTTTTGCAGTTTATCTTTGGCTGACAACACAAAATAGACTTGGCAATAGGAAGTTCATCAACTGATCCAAACAGATTCAAACAATGGTGACCAAACCTAAAAATCGATAACTGAATTAATCGAAAAATTGAAAACAAAAAAAAAAATGCAAAATATAGTTGGATTGATTGGTTTTCGATTTGATTGGTAGAAATCGATCCAATGATTTCCAGATCTTACCCCCTACCTACTTGGGTCTTCCTCCAATCATAGCACAAAAATCATATAGCAAAATTCTAAACTCATTACCCATCAACCCATCATGTTGGAGAAAGTGGGTAGTGCTTGATTTATGTTATGTTTTTTTTTTTGTAAGATACATCATATATTTTCATTGCATGGGTTATTGTTGTACAATAGCTCCTCTAGCATAAAAATTTGGGTTACTCCGTATCTCTGGCAATCACATCGTAAATTTTTTGTTGGAGGTAAAAGATAGTAATTCAACTTTTTATTATATTATATTGAAAATTAGATTATCGTTTACTGATACTTCTAGATTGCACAATAATTATCATACAAATATTACAAAGCTGATTATACATACAAAAAATATGTTATTTGCACATAAATCATCATACAAATGTTAGACTTTTCAAAAACCAAAATCCGATCCAATTCAAACCGAATAAAATTGGATTAGATAGGATTTGAAAAAAAATTCAAACCAAATAAATGATTACATGATCAAACCAAAAAAATTGAATCAAATAATTTTTATTTTCAAAATTGATCCAATCCAAACCGCAAAATACCCTGCTTTCCACTTCGTCAAGGTTTTAGCACATCATCTACTACATTTTGCTTACATAATGTTCTTTAACCTCATCATGAATTTCGCATACTTTTCTATGATAGTGACACAAAGCATACGTAAATTTTTCTCCGTAATAATGGCCACATGTAGTAATGCCAAAAGGTTGACTGAGGTATAACGGTCTCTAACAGATAATAGATTCTATTTCCATTGTGAAAAATCAATTAACAGAACAAATCAGTTTGTCCCTAGGAGGTTGATTCAGTCATTTAAGTAGGATGCAAAACAGAATGAAACATTTTTTCATTCCCTTTTATTTTTTAGTAGAATTAAAATATATTATTTTTAATCTCATGTCCAGTTTTATTTTACTTTTAAAATAGGGTTTAAAATCTCTCATCTTATAGAAGATAATTTTATCTCTTATATTCACATAAAAAATATGTAAATGTCTTTTTTTTATCCCTTCTCTTTATATGACCACATATGAATCTCATACAATTTTAAAAGTGTAAAAGACAATTTTATCTCTTACACATGACAAAGACCAAATCCTTTAAAATAAACCAAACATAAAATAGAATTGGTATATTATCATCTATCTCGTTGTAATATGGTTACCAAACATTACGTAGTCTATCCGAAATTTATGGCTTAATATGTTTACAGGTTTATATTTAATTAATTGCATCAAACAAAATCTTGATAATAATTCCAATCATAAATACAGTAAAGATTTTCTATATATGTCAAGAGTAAATAAAGATATAGTATTTAAAGAATAGCGACGTAACTTTATTGTCACTTTTGTTTTTTTTTTCTTAACAGCTTTATTGTCACATTTTTAACGTCAAGAAATAATAATACTGAAGCTTTAATTTAACCTTGCAACGTGACTCCTCAAGTCAGGACCATTTCTCCGTGTACCCCACCAAAATTAATGGCAACTTTGTCCGCAATTAGTGTGGCAAATGGTGGTAGCTAATTTAATAGTAAAAGAAGTTGAGTAAGTAGAAAGAAAAAGGTCTCAGTTTGATCTTCATATATCACTTTTAAGGGATGTTTAAATATTTTTATTTCTGACTCACCTCACTTTAAATTAGTCTCATAGCCGACTCAAAAAATCAAAACTTGTGAAAATACTAGAAAAGTCAACTCACCTCAAATAAATAATTAGAGTTGGGTAAGTAAAATATATATATATATATATATATATATATATATATATATATATATATATATATATTGAGAAAGAGGGAGAGGTATGCCAACTCCTATATATTCATTTCTTGGCAATAAAAAGAGGTAGTTAGAGGGCAAAGAAAGAGAGAA